CCACCGCCCCCCCATTGGCCAGGGCCGCCAGGTGATCCTGTCCCCCCATTGGCCAGGGTGGGGGGATCCTCTATGTGCCACCGGGTACTGGCCACTGCCGTAGGCCAGACACCAGGTCTGATCTGAAGCGGTGACTCCTCTTCCGTGCGCTGTGTAAACCCGGGAGCAGCCCTTTGGAGTCTGGGGAGACCGGGGGGACCCAGCCCGCTCTGTGCCCTGGGCTGTGTCACCAGGGTAACTAGCCAGCGGCAACCAACTGACCCTCTGCTGCTGGTCATACTGCTGCGTAGCGAGTCCCACTCACCCCCTTTGCCTCCTCTCTTTCCTGCAGCTCCCTGGCATCACATCGAGAACCTGGACCTCTTCTTCTCTCGCATATCCTTGCTGCGTGCGGGGGGAAGGGAGGTGCCTGCTCCAGCCCAGCATCAGCTGGACACAGTCTGTCCGTTTGGCACAGGTCCCATCTCATCTGGGGCTGGATTGCTCCGTGGAGTCCAAACGGGCCAAGCCGTGGCGTCTCCACCCCTTCCCTTGGGCGATGGGGCTGTCGGGGGACAGACACGGGTCCCTCCAGCCCCTTGGTGATAGCCTCCTGCCCGTTCTTTGTCGCTCTGATTGCTAGGCTCTGGATATGGCTTTACCGCCCTCTGTGCTGGCCAGGTCCTGCCTTTGCAGACTTTGGAGAGAGCTCAGGGTGGTCTGTGAATGGAGAGTTCACAGGTGCCTGCTGGGGTATGGCGGGGGCCTGGGACAGGCTAGCGTTACCCTCTGCCTGGGACGGGCATGGAGACCAGGCCCCAGGAGCATTTTGTAGCTAAGCAGAGAATGCACTTGCCTTGCAGCCATCTGTCCTGACTGGCGGCTAGGGGGTGGCTTGGCATGGGAGGGGTTTTCTCTCAGCTGGTGGAAGGGGGTCTCGGCTGGTGGCTGGAGAGGAGGGGTTGCCAGACTGTTCTCCTTGACTGCAGCTCCCACGTCTATAACCTGCATCAGAAGAACGGCTTCACCTGCATGCTGATTGGCGAGATCTTTGAGCTCATGTACGTCTTGAGTCCCCCTGCTCTGGGGGTGGGGAGGCCAGGGAGGGGGCAGGTTCTCCCAATGCTCTCGCTGCCATTGGGGTGAAGGGCCTTGGGCCCCAGTGTTCCTGCTATCCCTGCACAGCCATGGCTGAGAGTTGAGGTTTAGGGGGTGAGGTGGGAGGTGGTCAGGGCCACTCCCCTTTCAATCAGGACCTGTCTCCCTCTTTTTTGGCCATCTCCATCCCCAGGAATTTGTCTCCTTCTGCTCAGAATCTGCCCCCATCATGCCACGGGCCCTGGGGTGTGACCCAGTAGCCACCCCTGGCTGTGGCGTGTTAGGAGTTGGGGGCAGAAGGAGCATGCCCCTCATGGTTGCTGCCTTTCCCACAGGCAGTTCATTTTCGTGGTGGCCTTCACCACCTTCCTCGTCAGCTGCGTCGACTATGACATCCTGTTTGCCAACAAGATGGTGAATCACAGCCAGCACTCCAGCGAGCTCATCAAGGTGACACTGCCAGATGCCTTTCTGCCTCCCAGCGTGTGCAGCGCAAGGTAAGGGCAGCAGCCACACCTCCGCCCCCAGCCCTGGCAGCCTGCCACCCTCCAAAGGCCATGGTAGTGTGAGCTCCCTCTTTGCCCGGCTCCAGACTGGAGCTAAAGACCCAGGACTCCTTCCAGAAGGAGGACAGTGGGAGTGGCCGAACCTCACCCACGTGCAGTATGCAGCCCTTGCCCTCATCAGAAGTAGAGGCATGTAGACTGCCAAGATTGCAAGTCCCTGGTTTGTCTTGGTCCGAGTGGCCAAGCTGCGTTGTATTCTGGGTCATGTAATCCCCAGGGTATGTACTTGGTGTTTGATGGCAGTGTTGCTGTGTGCTGTTCCACAGCTGGTGCATCCCTCCCCAGATGTGGCTACATTCTGGTGGTGGGTGAAGCGATCCCTTGACAGTGCGTATAGCTTGGGCTCCTGTGGGATGAGGCTCGGCCGTGGGGCGTGCCGAAAGGCAAGTGTTGCAGCGAGTCTCTTCTCCCTTGCAGAATCCAGCAGAACGGCTTTCTCATTTGCATCCTGGTGATAGCGGGGGTTTTCTGGATCCACCGACTCATCAAATTTATCTACAACATCTGCTGCTACTGGGAGATTCACTCCTTCTACATCAACGCCCTCAAAATCCCCATGGTGAGCGACCCTGGGGCTGGAGGACTGGTTTGTCTTGGTCCGAGTGGCCAAGCTGCGTTGTATTCTCCGTTGTGGCGGAGCAGGGAGCTCCCCTTGCCTCTGCCCCCCAGCTCGGGGCTGCCTTGCTGAAGCTGTGGGAGAGGGTTTCACCGGCCCATTGCCTTCAGGGGTTCTGGTCTCTCCCTCTTTCAGACCTCCCTTGGGAGTTACATAATCCGGTGTATCTCCTTACAGCTTGTTTTCCGGCAAATCTGCCCCTGCACACTGGGTGTGTCGCGGGACAGCTGTGTTCTGCTGACTGTCTGCCAGCCAATCGCTTTGCTTTATAACCTCTAGGCTTTTCTTTGCCATACCTACAGCAGTGTCCCAGCCTCAGAGGTGTAAAGCAGTTTATTCTCATGCCTTCCCTGGGAGGCGGGGCAGGGTCTCTCTCCCCATGTACAGGTAGGGAAACTGAGGCACAGAGCAGCTAGGCGTTGCCCAAGGCCATGGGGGAGGCTGGCAGAGCTGGGTATTGAGCCCCAAGTCCCAGCCCAGGGTCTCCCTCGGGGAGAATGTGGGTAAGTCGAGTAACAGCAGGATCCTTTACATTAATTTTTTGCAAGACCATGAGCCTGTGGAATAGGGCATGGGCCTGGGACTCGAACACCTGGGTTCTCCTCCCAGTCGGCTGCAGGCTCCCCACGGGGCACTGGGCACGTCCCATCACTTCCCCGTCTGGGAAGTGGGAAGCTGGGAAGGGCTCGGAGCGGTAACGGAGACGTCGGAGCGGTAACGGAGACGTCGGCGCGCCACCCTTTGGGTGCGTGTGGCGATGACCTGTGTAGTTCTCTAGCTCTTTCCTGCCAGCCCAGGTGGGGTGAATGAGGCTCCTGTCCCCCCCGAGGGCTGCGTTTATCCCTCACTGGTAACCCCAGAGCAGCACACAGCAAGCATCACGCAGGGCAGGGTGCAGCATTGATGTGAGACTGGAACTCCCAGCATGCAGCATGGCCTGTGTCTGTGGAACATTGGAGCAGTGCATGCTGGGACCTGTAGTTTCTGTTGCAGCACTTGCCCGGCTGGGCCCCTGTTGGTCTCCCCCAGATTCTAACACTGCCTCCTCTCCTCCCGGCCAGTCCAACCTGCCCTATTACACCTGGCAGGAGGTGCAGGCTCGCATCGTGCAGATCCAGAAGGAGCATCAGATCTGCATCCACAAGAAGGAGCTGACGGAGCTGGACGTCTACCACCGCATCCTGCGCTTCAAGAACTACATGGTGGCCATGGTGAACAAGTCTCTGCTGCC